TGGTGAAAAGGACCATCTCAGTCTTCTTGGGATTGATCGACAGTGAGTGTTCCTTACACCATGTTTCTATCAATTTGAGCCCATCCTGCGCTCTATCGCACAGTGTGTTTACAAATTTGCCGGTCTGCAAGATAACTATGTCATCTGCGTATGCAATTGTGTGGAATCCATTTTTGTTAAGGTGATTAATTAGGGCATCCAGAACTATGTTCCAGAGAAGGGGTGATAAGACCCCTCCCTGAGGACATTCCCTCATGACCAGTCCTTTCACTGTGATGTCTTCTACATTAATACTCATTGCTCTACTAGAGAGCTTCTGGAGTATCCATTCTCCTACTACCAGGGGTACATTCCTGGAGTGCAGTTGCTGGGTAATTGTTGGAAAGGTTGTTTCATCAAACGCTCCCTCGATATCTATGAATATACCTAAGGTGGTTTCTTTGTTGTCCAATGATCTCTCGATTCTGCCAACCACATGGTAAAGGGCCAAATCAATAGACCTTCCCGGAAAATATGCATGCTGATTTGGATAAAGTGGGTTGTGAACAAGTACTTCTTCTCTTATGTACCGCTCACATAGCCTCTCCATGGTTTCTAAGAAAAACGATGTGAGACTAATTGGTCGGAATGCTTTTGGTAGGGTGTAGCCAATCCTACCTGGTTTGGGTATAAATACTACTCTTACCTCTCTCAACTTACCTCAGAGCTAGAGAGGCTCTGAATATTCCAACCAGGGTTGGCATAAGAGTGTCCAGTCCCCACTGAAGTAGGGCTGGTCTTATACCGTCAGGTCCTGGTGACTTGAAGGGGGAAAAGCCCGATATAGCCTTATTTTTTCCTCATCAATTACTGTACTAGCATATTGACAGTCGTATTGTGAGTGTGTTGTTGGTACATCCATCCAGTTCGTCGTTTCAGGTAAGACAGAACCTGAGAAGTGAGTTTCCAAAAGAATCGCAGCACTCTCCTGGAGGTTGGCGGCTTTGTCGCCATTTTCTCTTGTCAGGATGCCGATACTCTTATGGTGGTCATTTGAGAGTTCCTTCTGTAGCCTAGAAGCTAGTAGGAAGTCTCCGACTGCCTCACAATAGGCTCTCCAGGC